GTCGACTCCAAGCTTCCAAGGCTTCCCTTCTTCTTTGTCGCCTCTCCAGGGCAACTTTCCAACCCCTTGGGGTCTCCAGACAGAGTGAAATCAAGCTAGGAAACCGGAACTCCAATTTCTTTCACCTGTCTCATCATGACACTAAACCGGAAGCCCCTGGAGCAAAGATTTTTATGGCTTAGGAACCACTTGTCTTTCTCCAGGGCCTGCTTGAACGCAAGGGTAGTGGAGTTATCTAGTGGATGGGCTGCTTGTGTTTGCGGTCTTGTAGTCACTGTGGCTGCCATCTGTTCTGCTGGGAGCAAGGGCTTGACAATTTTGGGGGAGTACTGTTATACTGGGGCAGTCTCGACAAAGTATCAGCTAAAAAATTATTTCCTTTTGGTAGGTAGCAGAGGGTAAAATTGAAGTGCCCACTGCACCTGTTTTGGGGACAATTTCCTCAGGGTCTTCAGGGCTTCTAGGTTTTTATGATCAGTCGAAACTTGAAAAAGGATTTTGTTCCTTTCCAGGAAGTGCCCCCAGGTGAGAAGGGCCCACCTGACTACATAGGCTTCCTTCTTCCACACCACCCAATGTTGCTCTGTCTGTCAATTTTTTCTGATGTGTATGCACAAGAATGCAGCCGACCTTGGTTATTCTCTTGGAGTAGCATCACCCCTACACTGGCATCAGCCTGAATCACAAAAGACTTTTCAGGGACTGGATGTCTCAACACCGGTTCGGCGAAAAAAAGTCTCTTTAGCTTTTTGAATGCTGCTTGGCATTCCATAGTCCATTTTAGCGGTTGGCTAGGTTTCGGTTTGTCCACCCCCCTCAGGCAATTCCCTCCCCGTTACATTCTGCAGAAAGATACATCAAACTAAAGAGGAACTGAGTAAACAAAGCAAAGCAAAGCTAAGCACAGCACAGGAGAGCTCTAAAGGGTCCCCCTCCCCGCACAATGGCAGCATCCCAACAGAGATCTACAAGGACCTGACATACGCACACTGTTGCAAGTTACCCTTCTCATTCTCTTGCAATGGCACAGTCCCCACTGCTACGTTGCTGGCATCCACTTGGCTCAGCAGAAAACAATCTTTTAAGCTTTTCAAATGCCACCTGGCATTCCTTGGTCCATTTTAAGGTTGGCTGGGTTTTGGTTTGTCCCCCCCCTTTGTCTTTAGGAAGTTAGTGATGGGGAGGGCTATTTGAGCAAATGAAAGGATAAACTGCCAGTAAAAATTGGCAAATTCCAGGAAGCTTTACAGCTGTTTCCTGGATCGGGGATGTGCCCATTCCAGTATTGCCCACACTTTTTCTGGGTCCATTTCGACCCCTTCATGGGAGAGTCAATATCCCAGGTAGTTAATTTTTTCTTTGTGAAACCCACATTTGGATAACTTATTATACAATTTGGCTATGCTGAGTTTTTTAAGCATCTCCCTGATCAACTTTACATGCTCCGCTTTCGTTTCAGTGAATATAAGGATATCATCAAGATACACTAGGACCCGTTTGTACAAATGTTCATGGAGCACCTCATTTACCAGCTGTATTAATACTGCAGGTGCTCCTTGCAGGCTAAAAGGGAGTACTTTGAACTGAAAGCAGCCTAGCAGGCAGTTGAAAGCTGTTTTCCATTCGTTTCCTTCCTTGATTCTGACCTGGTAATAAGGTTCCCTCAAATCTAGCTTTGAATTTTTTTTCCCAGCTGGGAATTTTTTCCCCCCAAAATGTTGTTCTCACATAGAGTGAGAACAACATTTGTTTTAAAAACTGTTGACCTTCTGTGAGTATAAATACTCACTGAGCTGTGATTTCTAAGCCCAATAATTGTTTGCAGAGAAAGAAAAACCTTGACTCTTGGCTAATCTTCTGGGGGGGGATTTACTGAAAAGCTTTTAGGTGGCTAAATATTCTGGACTGCAATTTTGGCTTGTTGATAATTCTAAGACCCTGAGCAGAAGAACTGTTATAAAACACTGCTTTCAACGATGCCTTGACAATTGGAAGTGCATTGGGATACAAAGCCATATATAAAGATAAGAACCATATAAGATTTGGATGTTTGGATTTTAAGATTGGCTGGCTTGATAAGGCTAATCACAGAGATTATAGTGTCAGTGAAAGACTATCTGGAGGGGGGAGACAAAATGGATGTTACATACCTACCTAAAGGTGACAGGAAACCACACCTAATATTCCCTTCTGAAGGCCCTAGCCTGGAACATCAGAGATCTGCAGGAGCAATACTCCAAGGCAAGGCAAATACTTTCCAGAAGGAAATGTATGCAATCCTGTCGCAGATTCAAATGACAATGGTTTTAAACCACAATGAGGTTAAAAACAACTTTGATGACATAAATGAGCATATTTTCAACCTAAACTTACAATTAAAAAACTCTCAAAAAATGATGATAAAAAATGTACAAACAAATCAGATAATAGAATGCAAACCAGAAGAAAGTGACTTAAATAAGGAAGCTACAAATGAAGAGAACGACAACTTAACATAAACAGAAGAAAATCTACAAGATTTCACCACAACAATGAAAATGGAAAAGATATTTTATCTTTCAAGACTTCAAAACAAATTTGAGGATAAGAAAGAAGATCTAACAAAATGGATTATAGAGCTGCCAGGAGAATCATTAGAGTCTGGGAGACAAAAAGTGTACATCCTACTCAACTTGTTTCTCTTACTCCCAACAATACTTACAAAAATACAGGAATCCTCTGGCAAGCGGAACATACTGATTTGAAAAGCTACTTGGCAAAAGAAGAAGGCTAGAGCTAGATTCAAGAGATTTGATTCGACCGACCAGATGGAATACTATATGATTAAACACTTGTTTGAATATGGTTAAAAGAATAGATAAATTTTGGATGTAAAGGGGCTCTAAACTAAGAAGGATAAGATATATAAGTAGTATAGTATTTTTTATAATACATGAAATGTAAAAATACTGGGGTGATGTATGTGAATGAAAAGTTTGGATACTTAAAGGTAACTAATTTGGAGAAAATTATAATTACAAGAAAAGATGTTATATGTGGAGGTTATAAGATATATAAGTAGTATAATATTTTTTTATAATATATGAAATATGAAAATATTGGGATGATGTATATGAATGAAAAGTTTGGATATTTAAAGGTAATAAATTTTGAGAAAATTATGACTGATAAGAATAGTTTGAATACTGAGGGGAAATTAAACTTAAATAAGAATTTTGAAAACAGGACACATATTTTCCCAAAAATAAGACCCAACCGGAAAATAAGCCCTAGCATGATTTCTCAGGATGCTTGTTAATATAAACTCTACCCCAAAAATAAGCCCCACTTAAGATGGTTAGCCAGATGGAAGCATTTAGTATGTCTATTGCAACACACGATGTATTGAATTATAAAATCTGATAAACACACAAATAACGTGCGCACTTGATAACAAATGGACGTGTCTCATAATTCAATACGTCGTGTGTTGTAATGAATGTACTTAATGTACTTGTGTGAGATAAAGAAACATTTTCTGAATTTTGGTGCCTGCAATTTTTTGTCGCTTTTGTCTGGACAATCACTCTTAACTGTCATTACTTTTGTTGCCACTCTTGTCTCGTAAGTCTTCAATTAACATTTGATTTAATGCAGACATGCCAAACACAAGGCCAGCGGGCTGACCCAGAGATGGCCAGGCAGGCACTTCAATCAGTAGGCAGAGGCGCAGGAGAAGGCATGCGAACTCACATGCTGGACACACCTCCCCCCTTCTGTCTTTGCTTGCCCACAGCTGCAATGGGGTAAGCGGCCACATGGCGCATCCAACAGGCGGGAATACGTGCCTTCCCCCATGCCTCTGCCTCTGTTTGCTGTTGGTACCACTGCCGCCAGGCGAGGCAAGTGTTCAGGTTGGGGTAGGGGTGGCCTGGCTGTAGGACCCTGAGGTGCACAGGTGAAGGCCAGTTCTGAGGCTGTATTCGGCCGGGGCAGAGCAGGGAGTCCTGGCTGCCTCTTGGGGCCAGGGGCTCCCTGACCTTCCTGTTCACCAGGGCTGTCATGGGTGCAGTGATGGGAAGCTCATCCCATGTGTGTGGCAAAGTTAGAGGATGAGATTGGATGGCAGGGACCATGTATGCAGGGGCCACAGCATGGCACCACCCCAACTCTCCACTTGCCTTTCCTCCAGTTTGCGGTGGCAGCACCAGCAGCAGGCAAAGGCACATGGGGAGGCCCGTGATCTGGCCTGCCAGATGTGCCCCATGGCCGTCTGCCCCATCACAGCCATGGGCAAGCAAAGACAGATGGTGGAATAGAGTGGGTGGGTGGCTATGGGGTACATCCGGCAGGCAGGATTGCATGCCTCCCCCTGTGCTTCTATCTCCACCTGCTGCTTGGAGGGCTGGGCTGGTGGTTGCAGCACTCAGACTCACATGTGCTGCATGGGCTATGCAGCCCCAGAGTGCTCTGGCCAAAGGGCTGGTGAGTTGCAGCTGCTGCCTGACACTGTTGGCCCCTGCTCACCTCCTGCTGTGTGTGCACCAGGGGGGTGCCCAGCCAGGGTGGGCCATGGCTGAGGTGGCGGGGGCTGGTCTGTCACCATCTCTGGGGCAGCCCCAAGGGCCAGATATGGGCCCATCCGGTCCACGGGCCTTCTGTTTAGCATGTCTGTTGTACATGAAAAAATAAGACATCTCCTGAAAATAAGCCCTAATGTGTCTTTTGGAGCAAAAATTGATATAAGGCCTGATCTTATTTTTGGGGAAACACAGTATAATAGAAAGATAAAATAACATAAGATAGTATCTTTCAACAGGCATTCAACAGACTTTAAATGAAGACTGAAATGTTTATTTAACAAGTTCAGACAACAGGCAAATAAATTAAGCAGCTGTCAAGGGGATTTCAAGATATGCATTTTATAGAATACTTAAGTAAGAAATTAGAAATTTTGTGGAGCATAAACCATTTAGTAAGAAACTTAATGTATTTCAGAATCTCAAAGATAAAATTCTTACTTTTCCCTCCTTGATTTTGGTTCCAATTATCTGACGTCTTTGCTGGATTATTTCTATAAGAAGGTCACATTCTTCCATCAACTTGGATTCTTGTCGAGACGCATTCACCTAAAGAATAGATCAACCTATTACACTGAATAAATCTAAAAACATTAAAAACAAGATAAAACTAACAAAGTTGCATTGTTTCACACCCATATTTTTTAAATGCTATTAAACTTGAATGAATGCTTGAATTCTGAAAACAATATAGTTTCTCAGATAATATTGATACAAGTAACTATAATATATGGGTTGTCAAGGCTCCGACTAATGGACCCAAACAAATCAGAACTTCGTGGCTTAAAGTTTCCTCAAAGTACATGTTTATTGGATACTTAATATTGGCATGGTCAAAAGTGAAACCAACTCTAAACTCCCCTCCCCAGGAATAAAATGGAATTAAATGTAACACTTCCCTCCCTCTACTATGCTATTGATCACACTACCCAATGAGGGCAATTGGCAGGCTCTGTGACGCTTCTTCTCTCCACTTTCCACCACCTATGGGAATGACCTTGGTTCCCACAGGACTGCTCCGTGTTTAGTCTAGCAATACTTTTGGTTTCTTCCCCCCCTTCCTCCCAACCTAGGTGGCAACTGAGAACAACAAAGATGGCTTCAGCCAGGTTCATTTCAGAAGTTGACAGTCAGACTCCCCTAAAGAGAAAGAAGTTCCTGAAAAATAGCAAGCATAGATACACATTAGTGTTTTACTAATTTTCTACTCTATCGCCTGGAGTTTCCCTAGCTTTTGGGGGTGTTTATGATGAAATTTCTGTATTAATCTATCAGCCTTTACATCTCTGCTCTTTACCCAGGTAGCTTCTGACAAAGGATAACCTTTCCATTGAACTAGGTACTATAATTTCCCTTTATACACTCTAGAATCGAGAATCCATTTTATTTCATAACGGGTGTCACTCGCCACCATAATAAAACCTGGAGCTATTTGGGGTGCTGGCCTCAATGTCAATTATATAACTGGTTTCAACAAACTGCAATGAAAAACTGGATGCATTTCCCTCAAGAATCATGGGAGTTTTAGCTCCACTTTGACGAGGTTTATAATTTTTACGACGGGGACAGGACCGATAAATTTAGATCCCAGTTTTTTACATGGTAGTTTTAATTTTGGGTATTTGGTTGAGAGATAGACTTTGTCTCCTACATGAAATACTTTCTGGGGTGGGGACTGCCTCTTATGTGCTTCCTCCTTTTGAATCTTTGTGGCTTTGGCTAACACATGTTTGACGTTTGCCCAAGCGCCTTGTAGCAAGCTTACACACACAGACAGTGTTTGTGAGGAGGGGGGTTATTGAGAATATTCAGGCACAGAAATGAATTCCCTGCCAGTAGCTATTTTAAAAGGGGTAAGTCCAGTACTGCTGTGTACAGTATTGTTGTATGCCACTTCAGCAAAAGGCAGAAGGTCTGCCTAATTAGTTTGCTGATAGTTAACATAGCATCTCAGGTATTGTTTTACCATTGTGTTTTCTCGTTCAGCAGTTCCATTTGTACTCAGATGAAAAGCCAAGTTGAGTCCCTGAGTGCATCTGATCAGTTTCATGAATTCCCTCCAGAATTTTGCTGGAACTGAACCCCTCGGTCTGATATAACTCTTCTTGGTGCCTCGTGGAGTTGGTAGCTATGTTTTAAAAATAGGTTTGCCAATTTCTGGATAGAAGGGAGACCAGGACAAGCTATAAAGTGAGCCTGCTTTGAGAAAAGGTCAATAACAGTATAACAAATTACTGTATTTCTACTATTTTCAGGGAGCTCTAGATGAAGTGAGTTGCAATTTCCTCCCATGGCTGGGATGGGTCTGCTACTTGTTGTAACAGCCCAGGGGGCTTCCCGGGTCTTTTTTTCATAGCTGCACAGATTGCACAGCTCTTTTAATATCCTTTTTCATTCCTGGTCACCAGAACTGCTGCCTTACCAAGTGTAAAGTCTTTAAAAACCCAAAGTGACTGGCTTGCTTGGCATCGTGGCTTTATTGCAAGGCTTGAACTCTGAGAGTGCTAGGAAGGTATAACTTGGAGCCTTTCCAGGCTAATTCATCTCCATATGTCAACACTTGTCTGTTCTCTCTGAACCAGGGCAGAGTTTCTGTGTCAGGCTGCTTTCGAGGCTGGTGTATTGCTTTCAAGTTTGGTATCTCATGGTCATTTGAGAGGCCTTTTATGGTGAGGAGATGTGTCAGACCCTCAAACTATCTATTCCTTTCATTTTATTTTTGAGTACTGCCATTCTGTTTGGGGGGGAGGTTTCACTCTTTTGGGAGGGAGGACGATCTGTGGCCTGTATTTCCTTTACTTTGTTCTTCCTACCTTTGATGCATCCCTCTTGGTGTGAAAGGGAGGAGGAATGTGACTGGGTCCATCTGTCTTATCTCTGCTATGCTGGGAAGAGACCGGGAGGAACATGAAATGCCTGAGAACTGCGGTTTTATCACTTTGGTTCTCATAACAACTTCACACCTATAAATTGGCCAAAATCATACTGGACCATTGGGCACTGGGGAGGGGTTTGAAAGGAGAGTTTTACTGTAACGTTTTGCATGGGCTTTCTTCAGATCCTGCCTTGTATTCTGCTATCACTATGTCCCAATAAACGTTCCTTTTGAAACAATGCTAGTTTCAGGAATGCTGCTTTCCTGGGATTGCTACCTGAGGCAGGACTTTACATTAGGCAAGATCTGCAAAGTGATCAGTCCAGAGAGGCATCCATCCTACTGTAGGGACCATGCACACCATGTCGTTCCAAGACAGCGAGCAAGTTGAAACTGAGTGCAGGGAAGAGTCCGCCTCCAAGACACATCCTGAAGAGAGCCCCTCTAGATGAATGGAGGAAATGGTTGCCATGGAGAAATCCATGAGGCCGAAGTGGTTGGTTGGTGTGGGAAAAAGGGAAGCCTGGGATGAAAAGGCCTGCGCCCGGGGCAGCCGAAAACAGGGCTGGAGGTGTGACTTGGAACTACTTTATGATGATGAGGAAACCAAGGGAGAACAGGATCCAACTGACCAGATCCTGAAATGAGCAATACACTTCATGGTGGAAGCCTTTCAGGATTTGAAGGCAAAATCTGCAAAGTAATCAGTCCAGAGAGGCATCCATCCTACTGTAGGGACCATGCACACCATGTCGTTCCACGACAGCGAGCAAGTTGAAACTGAGTGCAGGGAAGAGTCCGCCTCCAAGACACATCCTGAAGAGAGCCCCTCCAGATGGATGGAGGAAATGGTTGCCATGGAGGAATCCATGAGGCCGAGGTGGTTGGTCGGTGTGGGAAAAAGGGAAGCCTGGGATGAAAAGGCCTGCGCTCGGGGCAGCTGAAAACAGGTTGCGCAGAGAGAGGAGAGAGGACGACTCAAGGAGGTGGCACAAAGCAAGAGCAAGTCAGCAACTACCAAAATTGCAGTGAGGACAGCTGGCTCTACAGGGACGGCAGCAACCACTCCCGCTGCCTCTCAGCAAGCCAGCCCCATGGGGGTGAATGTCCTGCAAGCAGCCAGGGAAGAGCCCTGCAGCCTGAACCGAAATTGGCCCTCCTTGGGGTGAAATTTGATGGAGACCCCCAACAGTTGGGATTTTTCCTCATTCATGTCCTCACCTACATGGAAGTGTATGGAAGAACCCTTCCCAGCAAGGAAGCTAGAATCAGGGTTGTCACTCTGGTCCTAGAAGGTGCTGCAGCCCAGTGAATGATGACCCTCCACAACTCCGATGCCCTGGAGCTCTGAAACTTTAACTGCTTCATGACTAGCCTGAGGCAGTATTTCGAAGACCATCTGGACAATTGCAAGGTGCAAGATAACATAAAGACAATGAGGCAGGGATGTCACCCTATAGCCGAATATACGGAGGAATTCCGAGACCTGGCATGCCGCCTCAACTGACCAGAGGACATCTTGGTGAGCTGCTTTAAAGACAGGCTCAACAATGATTTATATAATGCCTCCATTGCCCGTGGAGCCTCAGCCTGTCTGCATGACTGGTGCATCCTGGCCAAAGAAATGGAGATCGACCAGAATCGCAACCAATACCAGTCAGGCAGGGTCTGGAAGCAGACTCTGCCAGAGAAGAAAGGAGAGGCAGTCAAACCCACAACAGCTCAATCGCATTCCACCGCTTGCTTTAAATGTGGCAAGGAAGACCATCATGCTCTGGAATGCCACACAAAAACCCCAGCAAAGAAGGGAGACTGACTGTCTGGAGGGAAGCCAACAAAACCAGCTAAACGCCGAAAAGACACGGCCCTGAAGAGTATGGTGGTTGTAGAGTTCCTCCCAACCCCAAAATCAGAAGGGGGAACTCCGACCTCACCAGAGGACAAACCGGGGATGCCCAAAAGTGATCACAAAGATGACCCCTTCGTAAATGGGTCGATCATGCCAGTAAAAATGCTCATAGAACTGTTAATCCTGCGCAAGGGGGAAAAAAGTGGCCCTAACTGCCCTCCGAGATTCGGATTGCACCAGGTGCCTGATCAGTCCAACCTTAGTAGGGAAACTGGGGGCGGGGGGTGTCTGATTGAGAAGGTTAAAGAACCCAATTGCATTCTGCCAACTTGATGGGTCCATTGTAGGGGGCATCCCAGCCAGTTTTGCCACAGAACCCATGGGATTAGTTATTGAAGGCCACTTAGAGACTCTAACCTTCATAGTGGCACCAGGCATGGAACAGCCTTTTGTCCTGGGGTTAACCTGGCTGAAGAAGTGGAACCTACTAGTGGATTGGAAAGAGGGATGCTTGAAGTTCCCTAAAGGGAAAAAAACCCTCACCAAATAGGCACAACTGCCCAAAGAAGGAACCAGCCCAAGAAGTATCGGCCACAATGAGTGTTGAGACCTCACAGGCCATACTAGGACCTGGCTGAGGTCTTCAGCAAGAGGAGTTCGGACGAGTTTCCCCCCCCATCAGCCCACGAATTGTGCCATGGAAATCATCCTGGGGGCTAAACTACCAAAGCCAAAGCTGTATTCGATGACCTCCCAGGGAACTAGATGAACTGTGCTGGTTCACAGACAAAAATCTGGCCTGCGGCTTCATCCAGCCAGCCAGAC